CCCCAAAACCCCAAAACCCCAAAACCCCAAAACCCCTTCTTTCATATTAAAATTGAAACAATTAAGGGTATAAGCCAGTATGAATGCTAATTTGTATCAGCAGACTTATTTTCCTTTGTGTTTTGCACAACTCTTATATTGGCTTTACAAAGAGGGCATGTTAGGCCTGCTAATGTCTTCCTAGAAATAAGGTTAATCTTCTAATTAGCTAGTAAAGACGCACTAATTGAGCCCTTAAATATAGACATGACAGTTATGTTATCGTATAGTGTGACTTACTTAAGTTTGAAGAAATCCTCAAGGCATTCACTGTGAAAGATATGCTTACAAGCATTGATCTGCCTCATCTGCTTCTCTGGATCAAATTTATCAAGACAGATAGGTCATTCTGATTGATGGTACCTATCTTGACTTTGACCTAGCTGGTATTCTGAAGTATACTTGTTAAGGTAATACTGCCAACGTTTAGATACAGAGCTTCCTCCTCTCTTCTTCTTAATGATACATTTTATGATTAAGTAGTGAATTATTAAAAGAGCACAGCAGGAGCATATAACACATAGGACGATTATGAAGATCTTGAGTTGATCCATAATTTTATTGCCAGCTCTATCTCCTCCTGTAGGGCTTTTCAGCTCTCTTTGCATGCCAAATGATAGACTTGATCGTCTATAGGTAGAGCATTCAACTTCAGAGCTGTAACCATAAATGCTTAGAGCAGACTCTACTAATTTTTCCAGTGTTGAAAGTCTTCGAAAAATTGTGTTCGAAATGAACCCGGCTATGAAAAAGTTATATAATGGATATTTAGGTGCTTACCCTCCTTATGGTCAAGATTACTATCTGCAATCACACCAGTGCAGATAAATCTTCTTGACCTTAAATTTATAGTTGCTTCATGTAAGCTGCTTTGTTCGTGAGAAAAAGAAGCCTGACTGGTCTGCCTCAATTCTAAATTAATAAATTTAGTCTTTTGCTAAAATAAAGTGCTACCATTAGTTTTGTCCAAGTCAAGAGTGAGCCTAAATTTGTCTCCAGAAGAAACCACTAGTAGTTTAGGAAGCCCCAAAGAGTCCAGTAGTGACTCATTGCTTTCTTCTGAGAGGTCTTGACTTCCTTGTAAGGGATCGAGCGAAATTGGAGATTCCTAAATATACAATCAGGATATGTAATAACCAGGAGAAATTTAATAGCTAATCAAATTCTTACTTGCTTGTTTGATGCTCTTGTCAGAAAAATAGTCATTAGGATGATTATCAAGGTGGAGATCTATACAACAAAGTCAGCAGCTGTTCATCTCCAAAGTCTAGCTATGAGGTTACCATAAATTCATCTGCCATTAACCGCACTAATTGGTGGAAACATGATGTGAAAAGTTCAGAATTTTAATCTTTTGCACTAAATATTTTACGAAACTGTGGTCTAAAAGATCTCTCAGAATTATGTCTAAGGATGCTAAGCAGCGCTCCTCTTAGTCAATGCTAAGATAGTCAAGATTATACTGTTCCCTGACTTCTGGGTATATAAAATGTCCAGAAGCATGCATAAGTCCCTCTTCTGGATTTCTATGTTAGAGAAGTCAGAAAATGGTTCATAAGACCAAACTCACTCAATAGAGAATTCTGGGTTTTGGCAACGAAGTGTAAATACAAATATAAGAAAAGTTAGAGGATGCTATTTATGAAGATTTTAGTCTCTCCTGTTAGAGTTAAGAGCCTTTATGTGAGATTTGATGAATTTCTAAACCTTAGAAGTTATAGGTAAGTTTTGCATCTCCCTGTACAAGCGATAGATTTCTTTAATAGTGAAGTTTAGAATGAAGTAAAGATGACTAATGGACATCTTTAAAGAGATAGAGTTCTGATTTTAATTGTAAGGAATTTTTGTACTGAAGCAGCTATTTGCTGAAGGGTTCAGCTTAATAATCAAAATACTCTAAAGTGTAGACATAAATGAGACTTATTGGTATGATAGTAAGACCGTTTTTGGCCATATTCTGTGTTAATTCTCTTCCGAAGAAAACCTTGATTCATCCTTAAAATCTCCAGACTATATGTCTTCCAAGCCAGATAGCTCTGGCTGAAGGATAGTATAACACAGTGAAGTGGTTAGTAGATTAACTTACATGTACGTCCATTTGTAATTAATTTCAAAAATTTAGGTCGATTTAGGGGTTTTGGGGTTTTGGGGTTTTGGGGTTTTGGGG